TTTAAAGAAAATTGAACAAGTTCACAGTTTCGAATACCATATGCAAATAATCGATTACTCTGTTGTATAAACAGAAAAAATGGCTTAAAGTACTTGTACCAAATGATTCAAGCTTAAGATTTACACTATCCAAATTGCATATTCACATATAAGCAACAAAATAATCAATGCAAACTATATAAACATACAATAACATTCATTGATAAAAAATATTAGGATTGTAAGCCAAATATAATCCAAATACAAGTACGCCAAAATAACTAGATAGTGCAAGTAGATAATACATAGCAAAAGTCATAACAGGCGAATAGTATGGATCACTCCTTGTAGTGGTTCTGCCACCTCTAGTAGTGGATGAAGTTTATAGCCAGAAGAGATTAGAGTTGGGGTTGCTCTAATTAAGGTTTAGAACAATCAATTTGAATAAATTGTAGAAATGGGTGAAGCTTAACCGGAATTAAGGGGGGGAGGAATATACCCTATAACATGAACTTGAATCTCCTATATTACTATCAGTAATTGATTATATGTAGATCTAATCGATTATCGCTTTGCAAATTTTGTGAAGTTTTGAAATTTTTCTTTGAGGTAATAGATTAGTGAAGTAGTAATCGATTATTTTTCAACCATTTTTCCCCAGGTTTTATACTTATCTATGGGGTAATCAATTAGAACACATAATTATCGATTAATTGCAGTAAAATCACATATTTGAGTACACTGTGAGTAGTTCTTAGGGGTTGCTAAGATATGACTAGAAGAAACCTAACCTAATGACTTAATACACACTATCAAAAAAGTAAAGCAAACATGATTTCAAATAGGCACAATGAATGTGGGTTCAAATAAGATGTCGTAGAAACATATATGTATAACAAAGCAAAGGCATATTCAAGAACCTAAAACCAACTAGTTCAGATATGCACTACGCCAGATACGTTGTGCAACAACGCTTTTTTGGGTTTAGGACAGCGCGTCCCGCCGCTGTCTTTTTGACCGAAGTCGTAAATGGTATGTTTTGTAAGACTGAGATTGCAACTAAGAGGGGGGTGAATTAGTTGTTGCAATAAGTATGGCCAATTTTTTTTGCAATATCAAAGTTATTGTGCAGCGAAAATATTGTGCATTAAAATATTGACTTAGGAAGGATAAATAAATAACAAAGAGAAGGGAAAGAGAGTACACATGTGTTTTATACTGGTTCACCTTCTTGTCCACCGAAGACTACGTCCAGTACTCTTGACGCGCATGAGATTCATTTATTAAATATAATGAGTTGCAATTACAATTATCTCACCCCGAGATCTCCTTGTACCTTACACACTCACTTATATCTAATCCCCTTGGAAAACTCAATTCCAAGTAACACCCTTGGTAAACACTATACCAAGTCACTCGCCCTTTCTCTTCATACCCTTGTGAAAGAAAGTAAACTTTGCAAAAGTGAAGAATGTACGATTTTGGCATGGATTGCCTTATAAGTGTATATGACAATTTCTAGAACTTGCAATCCAATAACAACTCTTATATTTGAGATAATAATGCTCTTTAACAATATGAAAAACACTTAGAAGCAACTTCAAAATAACTTTGAAAGTTTAAGAGTATGTTGCTTGAAAAGTGTAAGTAAAATCAGAAAGTGTGAGAGTTTTTAAAGAGAGTTTGAAATCTGAGTTGTGAGTTGTATGTGTGTTGTTATGAGAGTGTTTCAATGCCTTTATATAGGCTTCCAATCAACCATAATACCCCTAGGTATGAGTAGGTTTCGTTTGGAATGAAAAGCAATCAGTTTGGAGTGAAACCTCTTCACTTGAAATCTGAAAACTGATGCAACAGCTCTTAGTAATCGATTACTATAAGTGGGTAATCGATTACCCAACAATCCTGTTAACAACTTTTTGAAAATTCACACAGTGTAATCGATTACTTGATTTGAGTAATCGGTTACTCAACAACACTGTTTGACAGCTTTGTGAATTTGCCTTTGTGTAATCGATTACACTACTTTGAGTAATCGATTACCCTGTTTTCTAAAAATGGTAATCTATTACTCCAAAGTCTGTAATGGATTACTCATAGCTGTTAGAGGTTTGAAAACTCTTTTCTCACTTATGTAACTTGTTACTCAAGTATGGTAACCCGTTACATGTTGTTTTTGAAAATTATTTTTATTCACACTTAGTTTTTCTTGATTTTATTGAAAACAATTTTGAGCATTATTAACTAAGTAAATAAATGGTGTATGTCATACATACAACAGCGCCACCTCCAACAAGCGATGTTATATATGTACATGACTTTTAACCGCGCTCATCACGAGTGATGTTAATATGTCACCTTTAACAGTACCAATTTAATAGCACTCGTATTAAATAAGGCAAAAATTATCTCAAACATTGTATCAAACACATAAGAAGCTTCAACATAATAAGAATGAAATCGAACCATTGTGTGAAATTATCTTCGTTAACCATATGTAGTAATGAAAACGATGAATGTGATGAAGATGTTGAGGACAAGCCCATGAATTTCCCCCCCCCCCCTAACCGAAAAAATAAGAGGACAAAATAATACAATGAGTAATGTCAACAACTTCCAATGTGAACCATTTGCATGTATTCCACTGAATGTAGGTATTCCACTGCTAAGAGTATTTGAGTGAACCATTTGTAGAGTTTCTGAGCAATGTCAACAACTTCCAATGTGAGTCACAACAAAATCTAAACACCAATTCAAGATATGGAAAAAGTGTAAAACAATGCACAAACACATCTGTGAAACAAGGATACCTCTTCAGGAAAGTAAGCATCATTTGATCTTTTCATCAATTCAGCCCTGTTACATAATTATAATAGAACAAAATAACAATTTTAAGTAACTGGTGAGGAAATTTTACATTAATTGGGGGCATATAAAACATGAAATTTTACATTAAACTGCAAGTTCATAAGTATTATCATAGACTCACATGTCTTCACCTTCACAATATCCAGTGACAATTCAAACATAACAACCCTACAACAAGAAAATACATACAAAGATTGCAAATTTGGTAAGTTTGTCCTGTGATATAAAATAAATAGTTAACGTATATGTAAATGAAAGGAACAAGAGTGAATCAAAGAGCAATAAATGAGGTAAAATAAGAGAATGATTCACCTTGTGCTCAGATAGAGAAACCAAAAGCTAATAACTTGCTTGAAGATAGAAACTAAGAGAAGAAGAGTGAGAGCTGAATTATATGTGTATTATTGTGTGTGATGTTTTGTTTTTAAATCTGTAAAGATTCGCGTCACTAAAAAAATGTATGACTTTTAACAGCGCTATCCAAAAAAACGTTGTTAAATGTGTGACTTTTAAGCTACACTAACTCTATCAAAACATATTCACTATAAAACTTGTAAAAAAAATTAGAAAAAAATGGTTTTTTTTTTGGAATTCCAGATTGTATCTTTCTAATGTAGCGAAAAAATTTAGATAGAATGAATTTTTCTACCCCAAATACATATCAAGTATGTCCAATTATGATTTGTGGTTCAAAAGTTATGTCAAAAATAACATTTTATCATAACACTATTTAGTACATTGTTAACAGCGCATGCGTAAATAAACGCTGTTAAATGTGTCATATCAACAACAAATGCGTAAATAAGCGCTGTTAAATATGTCATAACAACAGCGCAAACCTAAATAAGCGTTGTTAAAGATGTCATAACAACAACACCTGCGTAAATAAGCGATGTTAAAGATAGTGATATAGCATCTTTAAAACCGCATATTTACGCATGCGCTATTAAAGATTCTATATCACTATTTTTAACATAACTTTTGAACCACTAATCAGAACTGAACATATTATATATGAATTTGGGTAGAAAAATCATTCTATCCAACAAAGAAAATAATATATGAGAGAATGTTTTTTAGAAAGCGGGGTATAAGATATCAAATCCACAGCGCATATTGAAGAATTCGCTGTAGAAGATTTCCTATCAACATCGTAAACTAAAAATTGCGTTGTTAAACATATTCCAAATAACAGCGTAGCAAAAAAGCAGCGCTGTTAAATAGTATGAATTAAAACCAACGCTTATTCAACTATGCATATTCGTGGTTGCGATGTTGATGTTATATCCGCTTATCAATATTAACAGCGATTTCTTAAACACACGTTGTCTAATTTCCTCTGCCTTATATTTAACAGCATTTTTCTAAGATGCGCTGTTGAAGAACCGCTTTTAAAGACGTATTATGGCATAGTGATGATTCATCTAGAATTTGAAGTTCTATGTGTAACATAAAGAATGTATCCATATGAAGGGGCTTGGTGAATATATCGGCTAGTTGCTTTGAAGTTTCCACAAATTCAATAACACAATCACCCTTATGCACATGATCTCAAAGAAAATGATGTCTTATTTCTATATGTTTTGTTCTAGAATGTAGAATGGAATTCTTTAATAGGTTTATGCTACTAGTATTGTCACACTTGATAAAAAAATTATCAAGTTTTAGACCATAGTCTAAAATTTGTTTCTTCATCCAAAGGATTTAACACAACATACACCCGTAGTAATATATTTCTCTTTGGAGGTTGACAAAGCAACGCAAGCTTGCTTTTTACTATGTCATGAAACTGTGGAACTACCTGTATATGGCAAGTACCACTAGTACTCTTTTGATCCAATTTTCAGCCGGCATAATTGGAGTCGGAGTAACCTATTATAGAGAGTGGGGCATCCTTAGGATACTAATGTCCCATATTTATGGTAACTTTCAAATATTTCAAGATGCACTTAATTGCTGAAAAAGGTGACTTGTAACGACCCGATTTCTACCCTTGAAATTTTTTCGTTTATTTTAATCATTTCTTACATACATTCATCATCTTACTTAAAACTTTCAGGAATCATTCCTTAAAAATACTCTTTACGCATATTATATTTTCATATAATTTAAATTGCGGAAAAACATAATTCATTCATTATTATTCTCATTGGGTACTAAGAGCCCAAAAGTTATAATACTCTAAATATAACAATACCCCTGGTTACGAATACCCAAATAAATGTCAGTCATGGTTACAATCATTCAAATCCACAAGTAGTCATTTAAAGTACAAAAACGCAAATAGTGAATCCAACGTCTAAAGCTCCTAAAGCTCCCGAACTAGCATACTCCATTCGTCTATTTACCTGCAATGGGATTATCAATGACAAAAGTACAAAACACACAAAGGAGTAAGTCGTTAATTCAATAAACGTCATTATAAGATAATCCACATTAGAAAAAGGGTTAGTAAACCAATTTCGAAATTCATTTTGTCTTGCTGCATAACTTGAGCCAAAGTCACTACACCCCTCAGGGTTAGCTAAAAGCAGATTCTCATCCTTTTTACCAATAAAACACGCCTCCTAAACTCGGGCCGAAGTGTTGCTACATAAACTCGAGCCGAAGTCGCTACACCCCTTAGGGTTAGCTAAAAACAAATTCTCATCTCTTTTATAAAGAAAACATGCCGCGTAAACTCGGGCCGAAGTGTTGCTACATAAACTCGAGCCGAAGTCGCTACACCCCTTAGGGTTAGCTAAAAACAAATTCTCATATCTTTTATAAAGAAAACATGCCGCGTAAACTCGGGCCGAAGTGTTGCTACATAAACTCGAGCCGAAGTCGCTACACCCCTTAGGGTTAGCTAAAAACAACTTCTCATCTCTTTTATAAAGAAAACATGCCGCGTAAACTCGGGCCGAAGTGTTGCTACATAAACTCGAGCCGAAGTGTTGCCTCATAAACTCGGGCCGAAGTGTTGCCTCATAAACTCGGGCCGAAGTGTTGCCTCATAAACTCGGGCCGAAGTGTTGCCTCATAAACTCGGGCCGAAGTGTTGCCTCATAAACTCGGGCCGAAGTCGCTAACCATTTCTGGTCGGCTAAAAATATATTTTTCCTTCCATCGATTTGCCATCAATCATTTCCCGTAAATCCACGTCATCTTTAGTATAAACACTCCATATCTGTTTATACTAATACGTGATTTACAATATAATTATTGCATGGCCAGGAAACACACACCTTTTCCATCTTCCGTAAATCTACGCCTACTTTAGTATAAACACATCCATATATGTTCATACTAAATGCGTAATTCACAACTCGATCATTTCATAACCAGAAAATACCCACATTTTTCTTTTCCGTAAATCTACGCCTACTTTAGTATAAACACACCCATATATGTTCATACTAAATGCGTAATTCACAACTCGATCATTTCATAACCAGAAAATACTCACATTTTCCTTTTCCGTAAATCTACGCCTACTTTAGTGTAAACACACCCATATATGTTCATACTAAATGCGTAATTTACAACTTAGTCTTTGCATAACCAGAAAATACACATTTTCTATTTCAAATGCAACATTAAAGACTTATCCTTACCTTGATGAGTGTTGGGTTCGGTTCTTGGCAACTTCTCGAGTTCTACCGACACCACCTCCAACCTTAGGATCTCTTCTCAAGCTCCAAGATGAGTCCTAAGGCTCCTTGCTCTTGAAAAGCTCTCCTTTCTCTCTTCTCTTCGAAGTTCTAACCCAAAAATGTGTTTGGGTTTCTGTTTTAAAGAGGTGTCGTCGGGTTGTAATCGATTACCAACATGATGTAATCGATTACAACGTGAAAAATGCGCATATCTGATGCTTTTAATACGATGTAATCGATTACCAGCAGAGTGTAATCGATTACCAGCAGAGTGTAATCGATTACCAGCAGAGTGTAATCGATTACCAGCAGAGTGTAATCGATTACCAGCAGAGTGTAATCGATTACCAGCAGTGTGTAATCGATTACCAGCAGTGTGTAATCGATTACACTGTGTCAGATGCACATATCTGATGCTTTTAATACGATGTAATCGATTACCAGCAGTGTGTAATCGATTACACTGTGTCAACAGCCCAAAATTGCCATTTCTCGCCCAGGCGAGACAACTCTCGCTCAAGCGAGGCTTCCAGGACTGTTACTATAATTTTAAAGATTAAAATTTGGGGTGTTACATGACTCCTTAGGAGAGGCTTGGTATCTAGCACACATATATACGCTAAACATAATATCTGGCGACTTTGAAGTTAAATATAACAAAGATCTGATCATACCTCGATATTTTATTACCTCTATAGCCTTACCCTTCTCATCCTTGTTTAGATAACAAGATGATGTCGTGTGAGTTGAAGCCTCTTTGGATTTATCAATCTCAAACCTTTTTAGAAACTCCTTAAAATATTTGGATTGATGAACAAATATCACGTTGTTCATTTATTTAATTTGAAGCCCAAGGAAGAAAGTCAACTCGCTCATCATTGACATTTCAAAATCACCCTTCATCAAATCAGAAAATTCTTTGAACAAAATATCCTTAATTGCATCGCATACGCCTAACAGTATTTAGGCACCTTCTACTCATTTAACTTGGTCCTAGCCAACTCCTCAAGAACTCGATTTTTCTTCTCAACAACTTTGTTTTGTTGATGAGCTCTAGGAGTTGAATATTGATGTTATGTCATGTTTATTGCAAAACTTATCAAATAGGTAGTTCTTAAATTCACTACCATGTTCTCTTCGAATAGATATTATCTTATGATTGAATTGGCTTTGAAGAAGTTTGACAAGGTTTTAAAGTATTTAAAAGGTTCACTTTTTAAAATAAGAAGCAATGTCCTAGTGAATCTAGAAAAATCACCAACTATGACAAGTGCATAACTACCACCAAAGCTCATGATTTGTGACGGTCTAAACAAATCCATATGGAGTAATTCTACAGGTCTTGTTGTGGATACCACTATTTTTTATGAAAAAGAGTTTTTCACTTGCATGCATTTTTTGCAAGAGTTGCAAATACCCTCTATTTTAAAATTCATATTTGGTAGGCCATTTACTAGGTCCATGGAGGACAATGTTTCTAGGTGTTTCAAGTGGATATGTGCTTTCCGCCTATGCCAAACTCATAGATCACTTTCTTTTGAAATAAAACATTTTAAAAATAGAGAAGTGATATCTTCTAATTCAACCATATAGATGTTATTTATTCGGTGGCCTATAAACTTAACTTTATTGTCCATGCCATTGAAAATTATACAACACTTGGAATCAAAGGATATTTTGTTACCTTTGTCGTAAAGGTGACTTATGCTTAGCAATTGTGCTCCAAACCTTCCACATAAAGCACCTTGTTAATTGTTGCTTGCGAAGCATTTCCTATTTTGCATACTCCAAGTATTTTCCCTCGATTGTTATCACCATAAGTGACATGAACTTTTTCCTTGAGTGATAGTTCTATAAATTGTGACTTATCACCCGTCATGTGCCTTCATCCAAACTGAACAGATTTTCAAGTCCAAAATGAACAGTTTTCATCCAAAACGAATGAATTTCATTCCAATCGAGTTCTACCTTATCAAATGGATATAATGGTTGGTTGGACGACTATTTAAAGGCACTGAAACACCCAAATTCATATATAAATTTGTACATAAATTTTACATCAATCTTTCATACAATTTTTAAAACTTTCGTATACAATTATTTACACTTGTTTATGGAACTTGAGTTGTAAAAATTCAAATTTTTCTGAAGTTACACACAAGTCTTTGTCTAAAGTTTTTCAAACTAAAACTATATAAGAGCATTGTATACTGAGTATAAAAAGAGTCAAAGGAATGCAAGTTATAGTCATTTTCAGATCTCTTATGGCAATCTTTGCCCTAGTCAATTTCTTCAAACTTCTTTTATTTACTTTTCACCACAGGGTCTGGTGGAAAGGGGAAGAGTATTTGCTTAGAAGTGGTGCTTCTAAATGTTGAGGTATTTGTGAGTGTGTAATGTATTGGTAGTCTCGAGCTGAGATTTGTAATTACAACTCAAAATATCAGTGAAAAATTTTCTTGTGCTGCAAGATTACTGGATATAACCTTCATTGGACTAGAAGACGAATCAGTGTAAAAATCATTGTGTACTTTCTATCTTCTCCTTACTCTCTTAATTTTTTGTTTCTACTTGGCTATTTTTCTGCACATTTTTTCTGCTGCAACAAAATCTATTTTTATTGTAAAAAAATTCATCCTTGTCTAGGCAACTAATCCCCTTAGTTGTCATATTATATTTACAAATTCTTGGTTTTTAACATGCTCCTAACCATGTTTAGTAGAGTTCTACTTTTCATTTCTGCAATACCATTGTGTTGGGATGTATAAGGAACTATAACTTCATGAAAATTTCCCTCTCTGCTTCAGCTTAAAGTCACTCTTCTTTTCTACTTGAGCTTTAAATTTAATATGGCAAACACTTCACTCTTTCACTTTATTAGATTGATCCATACTTTTCTAATATGATAATTAATAAAAGTGACAAGTATCTAATCCCCAATGGAATTGGAATTCATCTCAAAGTATATCATATATCCACTTATGTTTAAATTGTTGCGTCCACTTGTTCATACAAGCTACCTACAATCATTGATATGTTCCAATATAGGAATGACAACAGGGCCGGACGGGCACGAGTAGTGGATACATGTGTCCATGCTTGCACTATTTACGGATACCTGTGTGGGTAGCGGGTATCCGCGAGTGTCCAACAAGTTTTCAATTTTAATTATATTTTTATATATTTTATAATAACTAATATATAAAAATAATTATTACTTGAATAATATGATATTTATATGATAATTTTATGATTATAGTCTCATCACTAAATTTTATTATGAAATAATAATGAAATATACAAATATAATGTTAAAATAATAATAATTAAGTATAAAATATTTAATTAAAATATATGTGGTTACCCGCGGAGCGGATACCATGATACACGTTCTCACCCATGAGCTATTTTTGCAGGTACCAATTCCAGATATTTTGACAGGAACTCACGAGTCGGGTATTTTTGTCATCCCTATTCTAATAGTCGATTTAGTTGCTAGAATGAAGCATGCTCTAGTTTTTACAATTGCATTATCATCTCATATATTACAAATAATGTAATATATGCATTGTCAATGTAAAGATTTATACATAGTTAATATATGGTTTACCCTCCATTTGCATTACTTATATTTAAGATAGTTAATATTGACTAATTATGAATGATGAATGATGCAGTGAAAGAATAAAAAACTCTTACGTTATCAGTACATACATTTTTCTCAATTAAAAAGAAAAATAAAAATAATGGTTGCTTATAAAACAAAAAACAATGTTAATATTATTTTTAAAATAAAATATATGCACTAAAATGATTTAATATAAGATGAGAATTCTTCTCCGTTACAACTAAGTACTAATTATAGACCAACCGTTAGACGCCACCAACTTTATCATAATTTAAATTTGTCCTCAACAACATCAATAATAGTGTATGGTAAAAACTAGAAAATAAAATGGGAAGCAAACTAAATTAAAGGATTATGTCAATAAGGATGATTTGGGATGAAGAAAACTAGTTTAGGGTTCAAAATTTCTTTTATTAGTACGGGCTAATCTGATACTTACAAAAATCTTAAAGGATTAAAATGAACTAATGTTCATTTCTTGTAGCTAGGTAGGAGGAAGAAGATGACATAAAACGACGTTGTTTTGTGTCTTAATTAAAAAAAATCAAAATGAAGTTGTTTCCGTGAGTTGGCAAATTATTCGGTGTCGAATCGCTACGTATAGTTAACGTGTAACGTCAGCGATTCTTTTAACATTAACAGACTCAATAGTCAATATAACAGAGGGATAAACATGAGTGTGTGTTTTAAAAGTTAGGAACAAAATGTTAATTTAAATTTATTATGGACTAATTATACACCCACGCGAAACTTGATAGATCAAAATGAGTAATTACTCTAGTATAAATATATAAATATATGTATATATTATTGGGGAGTCGATGAAAATACTTTCTAAAATATAATAGAATAAGGTGATAATTTTAGAGGAAAAATGAATATACTAATAGTGTAAGAGTTTTATAGATTGTGAGTCCATTATCCACTATTTATTTTTAATCATCATTAACTCTTCAAAAAATACAAAAATAGAATATGCAAGGACAAATCTTTGTGGGTATAGGTGGGAGCAACTGCCCCCATGAATTGTTTTTTCAAATTTATTACAATTTCTTCATAAAAAAAACTACTTGAATCTCATATTTTTTATTCAATTTGTAGCTTGGCCGATATGTATAATGTAATTTGTGTGATTCTTTAAAATTATAAATAATACATCAAAATCTCTTATACATGTAAATGTTAATATTGCTTATAATATTAAGACTTTGTTTGAGTTCATAATGATATTACAAATATAAAAAAGATTATGGGGGTCACATATTGTCTTTGTTAAACTTTGTAGCAAAAATCTTAAGATGCTAAGGGTTTTTAGTCGTTTAACTTTAATATTGATAATATATGTATTTTCTAGAAAATTAACTTGAGATATCAATTTCAAACAAAATTTCATCTAATTCAGAGTAAGATAGT